GGGAATAATGCAGGTTTTTTTATTTAAAATGCCTCTGTAATTACATGTGAAGTTACCATGTACTGAGCCAGACCATGGGCCCATCAAGCTGAGTATTAGCTACTCTGACTGGCAGCTGCGTTCCAGGGTTTAAGATACGTTATCATCTGATTCTTTTGACTGGAGAAAGGGATGGGAGAGAAATCGATCCAGTTCACATTTAAACACAAAGCTAACTAATTTGCACTTTTCAAAACAGGGAACTGAAACACAAGGCATCCCTTGAAAACCACACATCTTCAAATTTTGCAATACAGTTCTCCAATCAAGCAATGGGGTACAAAAATGTGTACAGTGGTACCTCGGGTTACGAACGCTTTGGGTTATGAACACTTTGGGTTACAAACACTTTGGGTTATGAACACTTTGGGTTACAAACACTTTGGGTTACAAACACTTTGGGTTACAAACTCCACTAACCCGGAAGTAGTACCTCGGGTTGCGAAGTTTGCCCCAGGATGAGAACAGAAATCGCACGACGGCGGCGTGGCAGCAGCAGGAGGCCCCATTAGTGAAAGCCCACCTCAGGTTAAGAATGGTTTCGGGTTAAGAACGGACCTCCAGAACGAATTAAGTTTGTAACCCGGGGTAAGGTAAAGGGACCCCTTACCATTAGGTCCAGTCGTGACCGACTCTTGGCCGCTTCTGACAGCCTGATGGGTGAAGGCTTAGTAGGGAGAGAAGTAGATATCAGAAAGAGAGGGAGAAAAAGGAAGTCAGATTCAGTAGGACTTTCTCCCAGGTAAGGGTGAATAGAGTTGCAGCTTCAGGAAGAATTGGAGGATTATAAAACTGGCTAAATTATCTTGGATAAAGCAGAATCAGACCAGCACTGGAAAAGCGATGGAGGAAAAGGAGGCTTCCCTTCATTATTGGTGGATGCAAGGAGAGGCCAACATGCTTTGGAGTATGATTTTATTTGCACTCCATAAGATTTTGGAAGAGAGACATAGCCTGGATTATTATTATTATTTTTAAAGGGTTTCGTTGACTTTGGCTAAAAGGTGAGTTCCGAAGAATAAAGAGGCATTGCTGTTTTACATGATTCTGGCAAGTATAGCAGGTTCTAAAACTGAAGGAATGGTATATAAATCTGCAGGCCCTGGCAGAACTGAGTAAATTGACTTGGGCTGGATCTTGACACATCAAAGAAGCGTTTCAGTTTAAAGCGTTGTAAATTTAAACAGGGAAAACAGGTAGAGAAAAGCGGGACTCCATATCGCCATCTGGTGGCAAAATGTTATACAGTGGTACTTCGGGTTACATATGCTTCAGGTTACACACACTTCAGGTTACAGACTCTTCTAACCCAGAAATAGTACCTCAGATTAAGAACTTTGCTTCAGGATAAGAACAGAAATCATGTGTCGGCAGCGGGAGACCCCATTAGCTAAAGTGGTGCTTCAGGTTAAGAACAGTTTCAGGTTATGAACGGACCTCCGGAACAAATTAAGTACGTAACCAGAGGTACCACTGTATTGCATATAAAGGTAAAGGGTAAAGGGACCCCTGACTGTTAGGTCCAGTCGCAGATGACTCTGGGGTTGCAGCGCTCATCTCGCTTTACTGGCCAAGGGAGCCGGCCTACAGCTTCCAGGTCATGTGGCCAGCATGACTAAGCCAGAGCAGCGCACTGAAATGCCGTTTATACACAACACATATAAATTGCTTTTTCTTTACAGTCTAGCTGAGTCCTTGGTCTATTAGGGTCAAGTCAGGAATTGTGCTCTGTAAATAAGTTGGAAGAGGAATGCACAGGGTTTCAACATTTCTGGAATGATAAACAGAATGTGGTTTGTTGATATTCCTTTCCCTTCACTGTGAACTTTGTTAGAAGCATGTTTCTGTGGGTTGTTTTTTGTTTAGTTTTATTTAATGCCATAAAACTAGGGAGGGAACCTTTTGTTGTTTTTGTAATTGCCTCAGCCATGAAAGCCGAAGTAACCACCCAGTGGTTTGCCTGCAGTGACTCAGGCTTAGGAAATGACATCTTTGGTTGGGGAGATTCAGCAGACTTTGGGGTTTAAATTACAAGCCGCTAATCAAAGAAAACTAAGGAAAGAAAGGAACTCTATTAGCATACCTGCTATGTACTGAGTTGAATAGGGTCCAAAATGCAGCAGTCTGATTGGTCCTAGAACAATAGGATCAAAAATGCAGCACTCTGATTGGTCCTAGAATAGGATTCAGAAGGCAGCAGTCTGATTGCTCCTAGAACAATGCAGCTGTATGATTGGTCCGCAGGAGCTACCCAATCCAGCTCCAGGTGGAAGTGAATCCGCAACCTGATTGGCCTACAGGAGAATCCCGGAATTAGCCAATCACGTGCAGCCTATTGTGTAAATAATGTATATAAAGCAGATATTTTGGGGAAACTTTCATTCCTCACTACTATGAGCTGAATAAGGAGCATGAAATCCACTCTCGACTCCGAGTATATTTCAATACCACTTCCATTCTTAGGTGTTTGTCTTTCATTAAATCTCACCCTTTTCCAAATTCGCCTGACAGTGAAGGGTCTGGCTCAGTGGTAGGACATCTGCTTTGTTTGCAGAAGGTCCCAGGTTCTCAGCATCTCCACGTCCAAGTCCTGTCCAAACTCCTGCCAGGCAGGTGTAGACAATACTGAGCTGGAAATGTGGCCAGCCAATGTAGGGCATACTGACTGGCCTGCCTTCGTATAAGGCAGCTTTTTATGTTCCTATGATATTTGTCTCCCAGAAATCCATCCATCACCATCACTGAGTGGAATGAAACACAGACGTGCTCTGCCATTAACTTCAGATAAAAATGTAAGAGGTGTGATGGAGGAAATGTTCTCGAACATGTACAAGGTGTGTTTCTATAACCATTGTGACTACAGTTATGCTAATCCAAGGGCAACTGGGCCTCTAAATCAAATGGTGACAAAGAACCTTGAAAACTGGTAGGCTCCCCATACCCCAAAAAAACTCCCAAACAGGATGGTTTAATAGAATTGTAGAGTTGGAAGGGACCCTGAGGATCATCTAGTCCAACCCCCTGCAATGCAGGAATATGCAGTTGGATCACCTTATAGGGATTCAACCTTCAACCTTGGCATTATCAGCCCCACACTCTGGCCAACTGAGCTATCCAGGTTTACAACATAATAACATAATGCGCAACATGATGTACATAGAATCATAGAGTTGGAATAGACCACAAGGGCCATCGAGTCCAACCCCCTGCCAAGCAGAAAACACCATCAGAGCACTCCTGACATATGGTTGTCAAGCCTCTGCTTAAAGACCTCCAAAGAAGGAGACTCCACCACACTCCTTGGCAGCAAATTCCACTGTCGAACAGCTCTTACTGTCAGGAAGTTCTTCCTAATGTTTAGGTGAAATCTTCTTTCTTGTAGTTTGGATCCATTGCTCCGTGTCCGCTTCTCTGGAGCAGCAGAAAACAACCTTTCTCCCTCCTCTATGTGACATCCTTTTATATATTTGAACATGGCTATCATATCACCCCTTAACCTCCTCTTCTCCAGGCTAAACATGCCCAGCTCCCTTAGCCGTTCCTCATAAGGCATCGTTTCCAGGCCTTTGACCATTTTGGTTGCCTTCCTCTGGACATCCATTAAATGAAACAAGAAAATAAGGTAATTATTTTAATGCAATACATAATACATAACAAGCAATGCCAGCAACTGAACCTGGGATTTTTTTAAAAAATTCTGCTTTTGTCATGCAACGTGTGTCCTCTACCATTATTGCTGTTAACCCAGGCTGGCAGCAGCTCTCCAGGATTTCAAACTTGGGGATTGAACCTGGGATCCTTCTGCATACAGAGCACCGGGTGCTCTGCCCCTCTGTTATGGTCCTTCTCCTTTTCTGCCTCTTCTATTCTCTCCCTCTCGCCCCCTACCCATCCTGAATCAAGGGCTCTCCTTCCTTGGAGGCTTTTAAGCAGAGGTTGGATGGCCACCTGCCATGTATGACCTAGCCGAGATTTCTGCATTGCAGGGGGTTGGACTAGATGACCCCCCAAGAGTCCCTTCTAACTCTGTTATTGTTTAGTTGTTCAGTTGTGTCCGACTCTTCGTGACCCCATGGACCAGAGCACGCCAGGCACTCCTGTCTTCCACTGCCTCCCGCAGTTTGGTCAAACTCATGCTGATAGCTTCGAGAACAATGTCCAACCATCTCGTCCTCTGTTGTCCCCTTCTCCTTGTGCCCTCCATCTTCCCCAACATCAGGGTCTTTTCCAGGGAGTCTTCTCTTCTCATGAGGTGGCCAAAGTCTTGGAGCCTCAGCTTCAGGATCTGTCCTTCCAGTGAGCGCTCAGGGCTGATTTCCTTCAGAATGGAGAGGTTTGATCTTCTTGCAGTCCACAGGCCTCTCAAGAGTCTCCTCCAGCACCATAATTCAAAAGCATCAATTCTTCGGCGATCAGCCTTCTTTATGGTCCAGCTCTCACTTCCATACATCACTACTGGGAAAACCATAGCTTTAACTATACGGACCTTTGTTGGTAAGGTGATGTCTCTGCTTTTTAAGATGCTGTCTAGGTTTGCCATCGCCTTTCTCCCAAGGAGCAGGCATCTTTTAATTTCGTGACTGCTGTCACCATCTGCAGTGATCATGGAGCCCAAGAAAGTAAAATCTCTCACTGCCTCCATTTCTTCCCCTTCTATTTGCCAGGAGGTGATGGGCCATGATCTTAGCTTTTTTGACTAACTCTACAATTCTTCGATTCTATAAAGGGCATCCTTATCACCATCACCAAACTGGTCCAAGCAACTAAGGAGAAAATATATGCGTACACCCCCCGCCTCGCAACGCCTCATGGTACATTCCTCTCCCTCCCCCTTTTCCCTCCTTTCCTCTTTCCATCTCTAGTCGCCCACCCCTTTCTCCCGACGATTGGTTACGTTCCCTTTTGATTGGCAGCTAAGCTTCGCCCGGCCGGCTTCCGAGTTGCGGCGCCCGACGATTCTGCAAAGCTCGCCGCGCCGACGAGAGGCCGCCCGCCGCGCGAGAAGTTAGGCAGAGCCGCGCAAGCTGCGCAAACTCCGTAAAGCGGTGGCGCCCCCCCCCCGGTCCTGCCGAGCGGGTTGAGTAACGCCGCCGGCGGGATACGGAGATGGCGTAAGGGAGCTGCGCGCTTCTGAGGCGGCCTTTCGAGAGCCTCGGGTGGCGGAGAGGCGCTGCAGGGCCCGCGGCCGGCCGGCGGTTCTCCTCGGGGACGGGAAGAGCCGCGTTTCCTGAGGGGAGCAGCCCGCGGCCTGGGCTCCGGGGAGGGGCGGGAAGGCGCCGGGCCCCTGCTGCCCCCTCAGCTGTGAGGTAAACCAGCCCGCGCTTTTCTCTCCGCCGGCAGCCAGCGAGGGAGGGAGGGACTTAGGGGGGCTTCTTGGGTCGTGTTGGGGGGTGACTGTCCCCTAAGCGCGCCGAAAGGGAGGGAGGGAGGAAAGCTCGTTTTGCAGGGTAGGCCGCCTGCAAGGCCCTCCTTCGCCTTCCTTCCCCCGTCCCGCTCGTCGCCTCCCTCGCCGGTGGCTCCCACCGGAGTTGCCCCGAGGTCGGGGGCTGGGGGAGGAGCTGCAGTCCAGCGACGCCGGGAGGGACGAAGGGTCCGACGCCCCCCCCCCGACTCCGGCTTCTCCTCCTCCTGTCCCCGTTCCTTGCTTTCGTTTCCTCCTAATCGAGGTCAAAGAGGAAATGGGGTGGGGGGTGGGAGTAGGTATTTATATCTTTTATATATCACGAGGGGGCGGACTTTGGTAATAGGGCGCCCCGAGCCAGAACAAAGTTTGGCGGGCACCCCCAATATATACATATATATATTATTTTCACAATAATTTGAGTAGGTACCCGTATAAATAAAGGTGGTGGTGGTGTTATTTTGCATCCTTTTGGTTGTACGCCCTGGGGGGGGGGCATTTACACCTCCCTAAATCCGACTCTGGTTGCACGCATATATGTGTGCACATACATATATATGTACACACACACACACACACACATGTGCCCAACGCTTGTCTATCTCTCTCAGTACCCCCTCCTCTCTCTGGGTCAGACCTTTTCATAACTGAGTGAGTGGCAGGTGCAATTTCCCCCACAACTAACTCAGTAGGTCTTCTCTGCACCCCCACCCCGTACCTTATTGTACAGTATAAAGAAATTAATAAATATAAGTATAATAAACCTAGAGGCAGGGGGAGGAAGGAGAAGGAAAAAGCAAAAATAAGAACCTAGCAAACTAGAAGGATGTGATTATGAGGTGGGATTTGCTATACAAAGTCTAATGCTCATGCTTAAATATTTATTTATAGGTTGTGAACAATTATAAACATGAAGGTGGCCGTTGTGGAGAAAAACAATTTTCAGGCCAGACTTAAGAGAGCTGCCATATAAACTTCATTCACACTCTTCACCTTGAGCTTTCACTTCAGGACATCAGCATGTGGAACAAGTCAGTTTGTGTGGCCTTGTTGGCTCTGGCTACAGGCTATGTCTTCCTACTGGACTCCGATCTGCCAGATTCAGTGCTGAAGTATCTCTCAAGCTCCTTCCTGTATCAGCTGCAGGGGGATCTTGCATCCCCAGAGAGCAGCATGGCAGCTGCCTGGGAAGTGCTTATCACCCAGCCGGGCAAACAGTGGAACAGAGTTGCTGTTGGGTGAGTGATGTCTTAAATTATTGTGTATAGATCTCCCTGAGTGTTCTTTGGAACACTAGCTAATAAACGTTTCTGCTATAGAGCAGTGGTCCTTATATTTTCTGCTGTGGAGAAACCTGTTTCCATGTACTTTTTACTACTAAGGATCCCCTGCATGTTTGCCAGGCGAATACTCTAGGGCAGGCATCCCCAACCTTCAGCCCTCCAGATGTTTTGGACAACAATTCCCATCATCCCTGACCACTGGTCCTGTTAGCTAGGGACCATGGGAGTTGTAGGCCAAAACATCTGGAGGGCCGCAGGTTGGGGATGCCTGCTCTAGGGCACATATTAGGGTGCAAACTTCAATGTAGGACACTAGCCAGTCCTACTGAGCCTTGATGTTACTTTGTATAAACTAAGTCTAAACTAAGAGCATGCATTAGAACACAATTCTGTGTGGTTGTGCATTGCAAGGGAAGGTCAGATAGTGGTGAGAAAGCTTGTGCAAGTTAAATGCAAGCAAGGAAGTTATTTTTGCACTGGGTTTTCCCAGTATGAAAAGAGCCTTTAAGCTCTTTGCCTTTCTTGGAGGCAAGGTTCTCTTGGTGCACCAGTTCTGGGATGCTTTCACAAGTCCATCCAAGTTCCCCTGAGATCTCATGTGAGCACCCCTAAACTTTCATAGCCAGTATACCATGGGGGCCTTGCCCGGCAAACAAGACAGAAAGCTTAAACACTCAGAGGTCCATTTCTCAAATACAGAATTTATGAAAATTCTAACTTTCAGCTGCAATTTCATACTCTCATGAACTCAGTAGGACTTACTTATGAATAGACATGCACATATTTCCATTGTAAGTAAATAGTAGCAATATGATTCCTCAGTGTTGTTTGTTAAACTCTACAGAATACTTATATCAATCAACTGCAAAATAAGCTTGAATGCATATATCCTTGTAGATATGTTCCTTAAAAATTAGCCTAGATTATAGCTTTTCATCTCCTGTTATTGGTAGGGTCAATGCCTGTGTAGATGTTGTCCTTTCTGGTGTGAAGTTGCTGCAAGCCCTTGGTCTAGATTCTGGTGTTGGGCAAGACCACTCAATCTTGCATTCCACAAAAGATTTGAAGGAAGCCTTCAGCCACTTCATGGGGAAGGGAGCTGCTGCAGAACGCTTCTTCAGTGATGCAGAGTCCTTCCGCCACATCGCAGAGACTGCTTCAGCATATCCTGGGGCACAGGTACATTCTCTAGCTTGGAGCGAACTCTATCCCTCTGTGATACATAATACACTACATATATCCAATACCTCTTTATAGCTTCTGTGGTAAATTGTTTAGCTTTCCCTTTGTTTGCTATTCTTTCTGCTCTCTAGAGCAGAAGTGACTTAACATTTTCTGGCTTCAGGGCCACATCCATCCCTGGCAACCTTCCAGGGCTACATGCAGTTGATGGATGTAGCCACCCAACACTTTGTAATACACATGCAGGCACACAGCCCCAATTTACATATGCAGCTCTGTCTATTTTAATTTTGCTTGAACTGTTATCTAGGCCCCCAAACTGGGAGTTAGCAACACGCCATAGAACTGCTAAGTAGCCACTATGTGGATATTTTGGGGGGAAGTATGGCCTTCAGCTGATGGTACACATTTTTCAGAAGAATAGCTCTGTAAATCTGCAGTAGCAAAAAGACACAAACTGTCTTTTAGACACATTGTCTCCATAAAGAGCTTGGCAATCAGCCTCATGCTTCCTTGCTTACTGCTCTCCTGAATCATTAAGTGATAGTTGTTATTCTTATTTTGGAATATTTAAACCATCAGAATTTAGCCTTCCTTTAAAGGATTGTGTGCTCAAATAACCATTTCCCCTATAATTTTATCATTCTTTTTTCCTGTAGTTTGGCAGGGATGGAGTGGAATGGGGAAAATAGTGTCTTGTTTGGACCCAAAGCATTTTATTTGTTATGAGTTAACTTTGCTTCATCAGATATATAAAGTGCAATCTAATAAGCTTTACAAAGCTAATGCTACACAAACTACTATATATCAAGAGCCCTGCAGTTTTTTCATCTTTTGTATACACTTAGTGATGAGCCCTTCTCAAAATGTCACTTGTATGCACTATTGTATCTTAATAACACTATTAAGAATACTGCCCAGTATAGTAGAGATGAAATTCTGTCTGACAAGATTGGCCTTGCAAAATATATGTTAATTATTTAAAGTTGCAGGCAGCAACATGCAAAAAAGCTTAAGAAACATGAAACTTTTCCAAAGGTTGGAAGGGTTGAAACTAGTCTTTCAAGTCAACTTAAAGCCACTGCTTCTGGGAAAACCTGTTTCAGAAGGGAGGGGTAGCTAATGCCACAAAACACAGAACAGTATTCAAAATGACTTTAGCAGATTGGAGACCTGGGCCCAAGCTAACAAAATGAATTTCAGTAGGGACAAATGTAAGGTCATGCACATAGATAGGAAGAACCAGGTGTACAAATATAAGATGGGGGAAACCTGACTTAGTAGCAGTACATGTGAAAAAGATCTAGGGGTCTTAATTGTTTGTGAGAGCCAAGCAGTCAGTGGCTAAAGTGAGTAGAGCGGCCTTGCTGCAGCTTTGGCATACTTGTAGTTAGATAAGTGAACATGTTTATTCCACTGATAACTATGGTTATATTCTTGATAGTACACATATAAAACTCTGCGAAGGACTGTGATCATGTAAAGATATGTAGAAATTGCAGATTAAATGTGTGCACAAATTTGTGTCTTAACAGTTGTATGTGGGAGGCAATGCTGCTCTCATTGGCCAGAAAATTGCAACAAATCCAGACCTAAAGGTAAGAATATCAAATGCCAACCCTCACTGATTGCCTATAACTGTATACCTCCTCTCATTGGTTTTCCTCTTTAAAATCCTGAACGTAACATCTAATCATTGTCCCCATTTTTTCAGTAAATATGCAGGCATGATGCAGAAGAATTTTCAGTGGAAAAGTTCATTTTCCTTTTGATGACACAAACTTCTTCTAGTGATGCACATGCTTGTAGCTATTGCTTGAGGCACTCTGGTGCCATGCCTGGCTTTTTGATTATGCTTTTGCAAGGCAATGAGTAGCACATGGCCAAAGTACTGGGTAATAATGCATGAAATAAGTAAAAACAGCACAAGCAAAGGCAGTTGTGCAAGTTACTTTACTAAAGTGTAACTACTATTGCTTCCTGGCATCTCTAGCTGAGAGGCATACATGTGTGAAGTATGTTACTCTAATAAAAAATAAAACCAGGCCTCTGACTATGAGAAGCAGTATATGGCTGAGAAAACAGCAGTTGCAACTTGGTAGCAGAATGTGCGGAGCTGCTGAGTGAACAAATGTGATTAGACATACCAGGAAATTAAAAGAACTTGGAGGAAAGTTCTAAACAATATTTCACTTAACTCTTTGGAAGAAGGGGTTATTACTTCTTTCTTACCTCTAGTATTGTGCATAGAGATGTACTTGGAATGTCAAAAGGAATCAATCTGTAGTGGAATGTCACTTTTTCCAAGTGTCCATATACATTTGTATATGTAACTTAGTGGACCAAGTTATTGGGAGTTGTCTGCTTATTTCAGCCGTTATATGTAATAGTAGCTATTCATATTATGACATCAGTATACATGGTCTTTTAGAACAGGGGTGGCCCTCCAGATGTTCCTGAACTACAAGTCCCATAAACCCTAGCCAGTGTGGCCAGTGGCCAGGGATGACCAACATCTGCCAACCTTGCAGTTGTAGTGACTTGTGCTATGAGATTTTGATATGCAAAATTGTTTGTGTGTCTCCTCCCTCCCTCCTGCCTGTGTCCCACATATTCCTAGTACAAGAAGCTCTGCACGGCTTCATTTATTTTTTTTAATAGGAAGAACTAATTGGTTTTTGTTTTTTTGTTTTTTTTAAAAATGATATTTATTGAAAATTTAAAATTACAGGAAAAAAAGAAAGAAAAAAGGAATTAGACAATACAAGTCAATAAAAAGAAAAAAAGAGAACAAAACACACAATACATCAAAACCAAAAACAAAAGCGAAAAAATTAAAAACAAATCCAATATTCCCATATCTTTATCTTTCATTAACTTGTTTCATCGACCTCCTCACACCTCCCTTTTTTGTATTCTAGTTATTAATTATTTCAGCAAATCCTTTCACTATATTCTGTCCTTTAATTGTCTTAATTTATTTTAACCTTATCTTACCATAAAAAGCCCTAAAACTTAAAACTTATTTGTACATAACTCCTTATAGCATTTCTACTAAAGCCAAATAGTTTCATTCCAACATTTTTCTAACACTCATTAATTTTACAATATTTCTCTAAATAAATTTTTAAACTTTCTTCCAAACTTCATCCACCGTCTCTTCTCCCTGGTCTCGGGTTCTGTCAGTCCTTTCTATCCATTCCATCTAGTCCATCAACCTGGTGATCTTCTGTCCGAGGCTCTTAACTCTTTTCCATGTCCCTTCTGCAGATCTTCATATTTATGCCTGCACTTTACTTTGTCTTCTGCTGATCTTGTTCTTAATTTCCTTCCTTTGTCATTGAGGAATAGATCTCGGGGAGACTCCAACCTAACAATGTCTTTATCCCTTCTCGACAGGTCAGCCCATTCTCCATAGTCAGCACTAAAATCCAAAAGATATTTCAAAGCATGTTTCAAAGTCCCTCCAAAGTTAAAGGCCCCCACAACTCCAATCTCCCCCTGGCCCAAAACCAGATCCCAGAAGCCAGAACATCCCTGCATAGGGGGATCTATCCAACTTCCCATCTCCAATCCAGACGGGACTCCATCTCTCCAAATCTGGCTTTCTCCAGATTCGGTCGTCAGAAACAACAGCTTATGTTCCTGCAAGGCCGCGGCTCTCTCCACTTGTATTACTTGAGGTTCAACAACAACCTCCTTTGTCTTCTCCACAGCTTGCCCTGTCAAAGCAGATTCCTGGGTCAGTTCCTGAGTAGTTTCTGTATAGGTGTTCACTTTTTGTCCCCCATCAGTCATTTTTTGTCCAAAATTGTCAATTGCAGTAG